ATCCACACCTCTTCTTTGCTTCTTTGTTTTGTTGAATTTCTCACCATTGAAAATATCGACAACACAGTCTGTAAAACCAACCTTATTAATAACCTCTGAGTAAGTATTACCCAATCTTTCAAGCATAATTTGAACGAAATACATTTGTCCTTGTTGGATTTGCCAATGCTTAGTGTGTTCCACGTTACCAGAAATGGCAATTCTCTCTAGTGCTTTAGCATAAATTCTCTTTTGGATGTTTAGTGGAAATGTTAGTGGATCAACATTGATATTGGAATTTTCGATGTATGAATGATTCATTTCCATAAATTCATCTGCTGCTACAAATCTTGTGGATCTACCAGACTTGCTTTGAGATATTGGTAAATTTCTGTGTTTACCAATGAATTGGTAAAATTCTGAGCTGTACTCTCTAATATAGGTAAGTTGATTAATATGGTATGAAGTTAATTGGAAATAATTTCTTGAATTTGTAACATTAAATAATGGCAGAGCTTTCAGGTACAAGAAGTATTGATCTTCTCCTTTGTTGTGTCTTGTGTTATGTTTGAACATAATACAACAAATACCAAGTTCCATGAGATGAATTAAAGCATCAAGAGTTTGAGATTCACTTCTGATTCTGTGGAGAAACAAGAAGAATTTTTCTTGGATTAATTTATCCCACTTGGAAGGATCTGAATCAAAGCAACAGGAGTTGGAGAATAATTGAATCAGCCATTGATTCATGCCATGAACAAATGTTTCCAGGAATACTCGTGTATCGTTGTAGTTTTTACCTTCAATCGAGACACGACTTTGGAGTAGTTCAACAAGGCTTGCAAAGAAAAACCAGCCATGTCTTAAAGTAGCTCTCATCATGGCTTGATGGAAATGCCAATCACCTGGAACAACCCAGAATTCTTGTAACTTTCTATGACGTTGAGCTCTTAATACAAAAGCAGCAAATACTTGATCACCAACAACAACACCTTCTTTCATCACATCTTGTTTGATGTGTTCAGTGTAATACATGGTCTTTGCCTCATTTGAATTACCACTGCCCAAGAAAGAAGGCCAACACTCGTATTCCAAATACGAGTCTCTTTTGTGAGTAGTATTGGATGTAAGGTAACTTTCAGAATTCAACATGAAGGACTTTACAATACCTTCTACGTATTGTGTCATTTCTCTTTCTGCTTTAGGATAGTCCATTCTGTAGAACAACAATGCTTCATTAAGACCAACAATGTTATAATCAAAATCAACTTCTGGAGCAAGAGCAAGTGTAGTAATGGTGGAAATCATTTCCTTTTGGGTATTATGAATTGAAAACTTACCACTGACAGTCCTTTCGAAGTTGTCAGAGATGGTAATTGGCAAGTACTTGGGATTGTTGCTTTTTCTCTTGAACTCTTCTTGTCTCTTATTAATATAGCCCATTAATTGATTGGTAATTGTGTTGTATGATGAAGTAATACCCATCTTGCAAAGCAAATCAACAAGTTGTTGACTTGTTCCATTGCTGTAAAGAACAGCACCTAGAGTTGTAGGAAAACAAGTAGCCATTCTGTTGCTGGCATTAGCCAATAACATTACACACACAGATAGAATGTTCTTCACTCTATCAGGAATTTGCTTTCTTTCAGAAGGCTTCAAGCAAATGGTTTTAAGATAGTCAAATAGTTGAGGACAACACTGTCTTCCTTCAGCAAGAATATCATCAATAGAGGTAGACAAGTCCTTGCTTTTGGCACCAACGAATTTGGAGAAGTTAGACAGTTCATTTGGAATGTCTTTGATGAACACCTTATTCTGCTTCTTAATTCTTTGAACTGTTCTTTTGGTGGACTTTGGATTGTTTAATTGGAGAGGAATTTTGTGAATTGGAGCACTCTTTGTTTTATCAACAATGTAATCTTCCATAACAGATACAACTGTTTGGCTAATAGCAACTTGGCTTTCTACACCATAACCCTGATTGTCATACTTTTCCAAAAGCTTACGAGGTACTCTGATACGGTTGTTGGTAGAAATATTATTTTCATCTTCAATAAAACCAATACAACTTTCAATATACTTTTCTACGATACCCTTGTTAGTGTTCATGTTAATTATTTTTTTAAGTGTTGAATTCAATACTAAGGTGAATAAAATTTCTCAATTTATTTAAATTTTATTCGTAACGGTATTGGCGGGCTGGTTTGAAAGGAGGGAAATCTCTGACTTTGCATTTTTTGCCCATTTTTCTTGACTTTGCCATTTTTTTGAAAAAAAATTTTTTGGGCCAACTTTCACTACTTCAGCGTTAGTCTAAAATTGGTATCTAGTTTAAACATTTGATTGAGAATCCACAGCAGAAGCAGCAGCAACAGTAGTAGTAGCAGTACTTGTACTCTTAGTAGGATTCGTCGTCGTTGTTTCCTTCTTATTGGTTTCCCATTTATCATCCCCCAATTCACAAATCAGACAGCACAACTTTTTCATCCACTCACCTAAGGTTTTTCCTCCAAACATTTCAGAAA